GCAAAAAGGTCTGCACTCGGAGCGTACGTGTATACGCTGTCATCGTGCGATCTAGCAAAAAGGTGTGCACTCGGATCGTAAGTGTATACGCTTTCGTCCTCAAACATGTCTGCTTCGGTGTCACCTTGTACAGGAGTAGAAGTGCGCAGAGGTTTCGCGGAAACATGGAAAAGCAGCATGTCCTCTATTACACTCAGCTTTGCGAACATGCGCTCTTGGTTTTCTGCATTTACAGACCTTAGGTTGTTGAGCCGGAGCATGTGTAGACACAATGCATGGAAATATGTGCCATACATCTTCCTTGGAGTCAGTGCTCTTGTTGATGTGCCGATGATCTCTCTGAGCAAGATGCAGTGAAGGTACGTCTAGTTTGCCAGGAGTAGTACTTTTTCCAAAGAGTAGAGAATATGCACACTGCATAGTGATGAGAGCAGTTGCTCAACGTTGCTGTCAGCATTGTTTTCAGACATTGTAGCAGTGACAATGATGAGGTGTTTGCGGTAGTCAATGCCGCGCAGCTGTTCTTTGTCTTGCTGTAGTACTTTCATGGTGGCAGTCATGTTGGCCTTGTCTTTGGGAGTTAGGTGATGTGGCAACTCCACCAGCACATTTTCGATGTGTTCCTTTGTGACGTGCAGTGCCTCACATGGAGACACTTCATATGTTGGGAGGTTGATATCTGCTATTAGAGCTATTTTGCGTTCCAAAGCACAGTACCAGTTCATGACTTATGCCCTGTAAGTGGTCTTTTAACTCCTGTTCAATGACAGACTTGGTCCCTGTACTTTCATAATCCTTTCCTGTAGCCTCCAAGTCTCAGAGAACGTCTTCTTTCTTTAGACCTTTGAAGGGGCAAACGCCACCATTCTTCTTGCTTGCACCACTAGGAAAGCCCACGACAACCTGCCTTCTGTCCTCAAGAGATTTCACCTCCTTACGAAAACAGAATCCAAGATCAATGAATCTAGTCATTGGCGCTCCACATCCAGCCGAGCAGCCATACATGCCCATGTGCTGTTCCCTGCAACTGGACTCCAACTTCAGGGGCTAGCCGACCAGAAATGTGCAACTAGTGTCCTACTTTTGTCCTATGTCCACTTGTGCTACCCGTCTGGGGGACTCTGCATTCCAATCGTTTGGTGCTAACATCAGTTATGGGCGACTTAAGGAATGTGTTCGACTGTAGAGCATTTTTCTGCGAACAGGCGTTCCAACATCTGTTAAAATACAGCTCTCAATTGTCCATTTCAAGCTTTCCTTGAAGCGACAACGGGCATTTTGATCCAGTCATCCACGTGCCACCTGGACCACCTGACGACACACCTGGGGTGTCATACACCTGGGGAATCACGTGCCCTAGCGATGGCTCAAAATTCCAGCGTGTGAAATAATATTCCTACCTTCGTTTTCTTTGTTCTTCAACTCTCGAAGGGTTCTTGTATTCTCGTCCTTCCAGTACTGCTTGATGGCAGGCACGCAGTAGACGTCAAATATTACATAACTACCAACACAGATGAACTTTCATGATAGTATACAAAAAAAAGTATAAAAATAGTATAAAAAACTTACCCTGAGAGGGATGAAGGAAGCCATGTACATCAGGGCCCATCACTCTTCATTGAACCACGACGGGGGCCGACATCTACTACTAGTTTACTCCTCAGTTTCGCCGGGGCCTCTTGCGGGCCCGTGGGCCTTCCCACTGAAAATGTGGATCCTGGTCTGTGAGAAAAACACATGTTGTCAGTACAATTGTAAGTACCCTGGATGCCAAACTCGTTTTGGGCCACTAGCAATTCCCTTCGGCAGCCAGGAGACCCTTCGCCCACGGGTCTAAATTACCGCTACGGGGAGGGGGGGGGGGTTGCTGGCCCTTAATACAACTAGGGCCGGACAAATTCTCCTGGGCCCAACTCCTCCTTGGCTCTAATTAGATAAGCGGGGGAAGGGCTCTTGGCTGCCGAAGAAAAACGGCTAACGGCCCGATACTAGTTTGCTGCTTTTAGATTTCCCGTGCTGAGTTTGACGGAGGTGTTCGGAATAGAATAGGGATTCGACGCGTTCGGTCTGGAACGGTCTATTGTTGTGCAGCTCAGCCATATTTAAGCCATCATAATCAGTGTGAGGTGTGATGAAATCTGCAAATCAGCAACTTACCGTAACGCTGGGACGGCCTTCGTGGGCGAATTCCTCGTCAGGGCTGGAACAATGAATAGATGGATATAGATAAGTATCCCGAACCTTAGGGCAATTTCTGTTTCACTCACACACACACACATATATTCATACACATGCACACACACACTTGCACACACATGCACGCACACGCACACATGCACACACACACACATATATACACACACAGAACTTTATTGACACATGCACACACACATTCATACACATCCATACGTACAAATGCACACACAAACATACACACTTACACTTACAAAGGCCACCAAAAACGTAATCTGGCATTAACTTTAATTAAGCTACACAACATGCAGACTTACAAACACATAAAACACTTACTCGGAGTTACTCCTGCAGGTTGTTGCTGCTGATTCTGCGCAGGCTGTTGCTGTTGGTTGTTCTGTTGCTGCGCAGGTGGTTGCTGGCCGGCTGGCTGAAGGGGAGGAACAGGCTGAGGGATAGATTGAGCAATAGGATGAACGACAGCAACAGAAGGAACAAGAGCGAGAGGAGGATTGGCGGCCGGTTGCTGGATGGCGGGAGGTGCGTTCTGGACAGGAGCTGGATTTGGGATGGCTGGAAGTTCGTTGTGGTTGGCTGGAGGTTCGTTGTGGTTGGCTGGAGGTGCGTTGTGGTTGGCTGGAGGTGAGTTGTTGTTGGCTGGAGGTGCGTTGTTGTTGGCTGGAGGTGCGTTGTTGGCTGGAGGTGCGTTGTGGTTGGCTGGAGGTGCGTTGTTGGCTGGAGGTGCGTTGTGGTTGGCTGGAGGTGCGTTGTGGTTGGCTGGAGGTGCGTTGTGGTTGGCTGGAGGTGCGTTGTGGTTGGCTGGAGGTACGTTGTTGTTGGCTGGAGGTACGTTGTTGTTGGCTGGAGGTGCGTTGTTGGCTGGAGGTGCGTTGTTGGCTGGAGGTGCGTTGTTGGCTGGAGGTGCGTTGTTGGCTGGAGGAGGAGGTGTGGCCTGGGGAAGGTGGTTTGGGATGGGTGGAGGATTACCTGGGATTGGAGGGAGGTTGATGGCTGGGTTGTGGATGTGAGGAGGAGGCTGATGAGGATCCGGCAGAGGATGGTGAGGAGCATGAGGATGAGGATGAGGAGGTCCAAAGAAGAAGCCAGCCGGCGCAGCAGCAGGTGGTGGAGGCGGTGGCGGCGGCGGTGCGTGGGCAAGCACCATCTGCTGCGAGGGGGCAGGCTGAGGGGGATGGAAAAAAAGTCAATTAACTAGAAAAGTAACATTTGCGAAGCAAATGCATGAAATATTTACCTTCAGATACGGTCTGCTGTTAATTCTTACTCAAACACATTCGCATACATTGTGCATGTATATGGTGACAGGAGTCTACATGCCTACTATGAAATTGCTACATTATGTAACCCAACACCAGTTACTATGGTGACAGACGTCAACAAAAGAGGCCATTGGCAAGGTCAGAGGTTAGTGTGTGGAACAGAAGAAGAAATGGAGCAAAAACAAAATGTTTTCCTTCGGTAAACATAATGAATGAAAGACCTTTCTTGTACATTTTTGCTAGTTGCAAACTAACTACAGGTCACGGCAGATGGCGATCATGGTAGACTAAAATATATCTATAGTAAAAGCGAATATGTACAGGTTCTGCTTCTTCTCGGTTCTAAAGACAGTTGTAAATGTAAGAACAGATGGAGCTTATACTAAGTTATAGTACGAGGATTATGTGTGATGTGACGTCTTTCGTCGACTTTCCTGCTACTTTCCGAAACGGTTACTCCAGTCGTAATTCTGTTTCTCAAAAATAATAGCGAGCGTAGATATGTCAGTAATGCGTAGCGGGTTACCGTGTAGCGAGTGTCGGACCAGGTTACAACATGTACAGACAGACCCCAAGTGAGCCTCGCTAGCCCACGCCACCGCATGCCCTCCTCAGGCAGGATGTACACATGTGCCGCCAGAAAGTAGTACGTGACAAGTTCGCAGCATCTGGTTTTAAGTGTTCGGTTTTGAACTTTTGTCATAAATTCCCGACTCTGACCAGTAGCAAAGTACTATAACCATGCTTGTTTATACAACTTGATGTATGATATCCCCGCCTTGGTATACAGCAATTAGTACTAGTCCGGAGCGGATGGATACATATACAGAATATCCCGTCGTACACCGATCCAGCTTCAGTTGGAGAGGAAGGGCGGTGGTGTGAGGTGGGTGTGGAATTGTCTGGTTGTTTTGTGTTTGTGTTCTTCATTGTTTTGCAACTTACCAAGACTGAATCTTAAAGGTGTGAAAGTTACTCGTTTGTAGATGTGGACAAGTCCCTGTAGAGAAAAGTTTAATTTATTCTGCCGTGTAGTTGAGCCACGCCGTGTTGTGTAAGGCCGGCCGTTGGTGGAATTTGCCCCGCCACTATGTCAGTTTGTCCAGACCTGTTTCCCTGGTGTGTAGGAAACATTCTGTACTATGCTGACACGACATTAATTTTTTAAGCGCCCTTTCTAACAGTTCTTGACAAAACTTGCCAAGGTTCAGTATTTGTAAGGCCGACCGCGGCCATCTGTGATGGATTATCTTGTTTACGTGTCCGCGGGTGAGAACTGTGTACTGGACAAGATTCTCGGACGACTTGGTCTAACACACACATATTTTTTATTCGTGTTGTTTATGCTGTGGTGATATGTTTCAGCCAAGATATTTATTTTTAGTAGGGGTGACGTGGTTCCAAAGTCTCCACTGGACATTTTTAAGTCAGCTAATGTCCCTTCGAGAATCTGAACAATTTTGTATTCTGGTCGACACCGATTAAAAGAAAAATATAATTATTTGACTTGCAGTACAATTCTTTGTGTTTCCTCTACAGCAAATCCAGAGGCTAACATCAAACAACATGACGACCAGCTGACACCAACCATCTAGAACACCAACAGGCGGACACATGAGACCTTACTATGATTGTTGGAAACAGCATTTTCTGCAACAAAACAAGCACAGCTTGCAAACTTGAGACTCTCCCAATCTTAACTACATGCACTACGTCGTATGTAAACATTGAAAACAGAGCTAATGGTAAACTGAAGTTACCTGACTTGCTTCCGGCAGAACATCCAGCTTACTCAGGGTTAGGTCTATTTTTACAGCTGTCCAGCCTCCTGGAAACCCAGACTTCGGGGACTGTGCCTCGGGCTTAGTGGGGGCTGGTTCAGCTTAGACTTTTTCTTTGGATGTTAACGCCATTTGTGATTAACTCATGCAATGCAAATGACAATAAAAAAAATCTTTGCATGCTTGCATTAGAGATGCTCACCCTATATGATTTGCTACTATTTAAGGTCTACCAACATATATACAGCATTGCTCTACCAATCATTATTATTTACTTCTCTTCTGAAGAGCTCAATGTCACATCATAAAGTCGAACGACAGTGTGAAAACAACAAAGTTACATTTCGAAACAATGATGCATGTCAGGTCCTTCACGGATAAGACGTTCAGCATTCTGTATTTTTAGGTCATGGTCACATAGGTTTAAACATGCCGTAAATAATTTCATCAGGTTGGAAGATACTTAGGGTATAGAATTTTCTTCTTACACAACCAGTAAGGTTCTCACCTGCTTACGTTTCGATGTCTATCAGACACCTTCCTCAGAGCTTCTGACTGGAGTTCTGCAACTCGCCG